AATTTTAAAATTTTACGAGAGTCTTAAGAAAGAAAGCAACGATCTTTTTAAATCTCGATTGCTACAATCGAGATTTAAAAAGGTCGTTGCTTTCTTTGTTTGCCCATGTTGTCCGACAAAGCTTACCCGAAGCGTGTCGCAAAATATACCAATTCCTTATACACGGCGTTTGTCGGAGTCAACACTAATTTTACGCATCAACAGTCTTGTACAGTCACTTGCTTTCAATTTAAGATAAAATGTAGGTAGGTATAAGTGAACACTTCCCGATTGTATGGGCTTCAGTCAATTGATAATCCATACACGTGTAGGATGACACGTCTAGATGTGATTAGATTTATACTAAATATAATATGCCCTATAGTTTCTGGAAATGTAGATTAACAAAGCCAATAGTAGTATAAAAATATTACAATAATGAATCTAAGTATATACAGACATAGTGACTGGAAAATAGACTAAACAGATATTTAAATAAATAAAAGAAGTCAAATATAAACAAAACTAGGTGCACTCAATCACGCACAGTTTCACGCTCGGAGCTTCATTCTTCCTTTTACACACTTCTTTAGTCTTTCATGATAGCACAAGAAAAAAATAAACGATGGATTTTCGTAACATGGCTGCAGTTCTCCTTTGGCACACTATACACACTAAAAATAAAAAAAAAATAAAAATTAGATATAACAGAAACCAAAATGCAAAATCTTGAGTGCCCTTGTACGCTTGCAATAATTCATTATCTGTGTGATATAATTTCTAAATACATTGGAACTTTATAATGCTTATTCAGGTCTTGTTATTTAAGTTCGTTATGTAATTTATTCTAATTCAAGAAATTTTTTTGCCGCAGAAATTAACCGTTAAAATTAAAGTAACGATAAACATTTTGATACCTGGATTGCGTTATTTTTAAAGCAATATTGCATGTTCATGTATTATACATTCAATGCCTAAAATTTATTCTAACGTTACTTGTTGCCAGTTAATTCATGTGCACATATATTTCAAGTTATGTCCAAAATATGTAGTTGTAGTAAATATACGAAAACAGTCAGTCAACAGTAATACAGCCAGCAGACGTGTCGAGATAATGATATAAATACTGGTTGGGGTCTAACTACACTATTTCATTGAAGCTATAAAATCATTATAGACTAAGTGTTAAAGATATGATTTTATTTAAATAATGACAATAAAAAATATCCTTTTTAGCGTTAGAACGTGGCTGCCATATAAATATGATTGGTTACTAACATAACTATAAATAAATTATTACACTAAATACATAACATTAAATGGGTGGGTAGTTTTATTGCGGAGTGGTGGTAGCAACTCTAACAGTGTATACAGACGAATGGCACTTTGATGTCGGTTGTCGATCAATGGGAACGTTTGTCACTTGACTCTTAAAAGTTGTTCAGAAAATCCACTAGGTTTTTAATTTTTATATCATAATTAAAAAAAAAAAACTATTTTATCGTGAATGAATGAAAGGAAAATATGTATATCTTGTTCTCTTTATGACAATTTTTCATTATTTCTCTTTTGACGGCTGATTTTTCAATCTTCTTTTGATCTTCTTTTTTTTTTCTCTACTTTTGACTAACATTCTTGGGCATAACCACATCACAGCATAATCGACATTTTGCAGTCCAAAGTGGTTTTGACCGGTTATGAGTTTTGACTGTAACAGATATACAATTTTATCGGTGCTGAAAAATAACGTTAGCGTTATTTTTTAGCTACCTAATTATCAACTTATAGCTTTTCTTCTTCTTGTGGTTCAAAGTTACCTTACTTTTCAATTTGTTTCTTAGAATTTCTTAATTGTTATTGTCGAAACAACAGATACTTTTAGTTAAACAAACCGATTTTTTTCGGTTACCAATATAATTTCGGTCATGTAAAGGTATAACGATACCCCTAAAAATAGCGTTACCGTTATTTTATACCGGTGGCGTGGCGCATCGGTGAATTATAAGCGCTTTCGTTATACCGGTAACCTCATATCTTAACCGCAATCAAGCCCTGCCCACAGCCCCACAGAATACATTAAAGTGCCGTTCGTCTGTAAGAGCACAAAGGGCAAATTTTTATTACCAGAACAGTTTTAAGGGCTTTAAACAGTACCGTTTACGTATCATATATTAATGTGAAAATAAGATATGCAATTTAACGAAGTTTTTCGCTATTGCTATTTGAAAAAAAAATAAAAAATGAAATGGTAATAAACAACAAGATAATATATTGCCATAACTAGGTTGTTATTGCACTAAAGTGCAAGCAAGCTAGCTTGCTTATACGAGTATATACTTAAGATTGCATACAATATACGTAATGGTTGTATCTAGTACCTTAGTAATACAAGTTAAAGTCAAATTCATCTGCCAGTAGTTTTTAACTAATTTATAAAATTTCGATGTTATAATTAAGATTTTTGAATAATTTTTTAATATATAATATGTATATTTCAGTTCAAGAATATGCCTTTAAAATGTTTCTGGCAATAAAAATAGTGGTGTATATTCAATAATACAAAAGCAGTTCCCGTAATGCTTGTGATACACACAGAAACGTTAATTGAATGTAAAATCAAACATCGCTACTCTCACGATTTTCGTACGACGAAAATTTCAATTTGCGTTCAATCATGAAGTGACATCGACACTAAATCAACAAATGAATTCAGTTACTATGTACACGCTAAGAATTATATTTGTATTCTCTCTTTTCTTTTTCTCTTTTTAAAAACCTCACCCCCACACTAGGATTTTCTTCTGTGTCGTGGAGGCAGTTTACAGACATAAATTGCACAAGGACAAACATCCAGACCCGGAACAACTATTTGTAGGCCATACAAATACTTGTTCCGTGCGGGATTCGAACCCGCAGCCCCCAGCGCAACAACTGATTGCTAAGCCACTGCGCCACGGAGCCGTCAACATAATATAGTTACAACATAATATCGGATCTTTGATGAAACGTCTATCACGTGATATTTCGCACAATGTAAACACATTATCCTAACACTCTTAGGGTGTTATTGTAGTAGCAAAGAACGAGACAGAACATATTGTGTACTTTATTGCACTTTTCAAACTATGCGATTGAATGCTTCGTTATATTGTGCGACTGGGACAATGGCCGCAATATACGCTGTCTGTTATTCGCTCTGACTACCACAAACTCCTCAAGCTTTTAATAGTGATAAACAACATGCACATGAAGTAGGTATAATAAAGTCCTCCAGACCGAACTCCGTTACCAAAAGAGACTAGCCATCTGCACAGGACACGATTATAGTGCACGAGTGTGTGTGCAAACGCAGGTGCACTCTCTATTCCCTGCTTTTTATACATGAAATATAATAACTATCCAAATAACTTATCTCTTTGACAGTACACGTTAGCGGCAAATGTTTTAACATCAACAAAAGATAACTACTAATTTAATATTATATCCTAACTATATAATTCAATATAAACCACAATGCATCGTTTTATTTCACGCACACTGAGGGCCTGGGACGTAACAAATATTGAAGATCGATACGTTTTAAGTTTTAGCTACTTAAAACTTTACCGAGTGATAGAAACAGCATCGATATATAAGAGATCTTATCACAAATGTTAATAAATGATTCTACTGTTGGAGATATATAACAATTATGCAATGAAAAATGAAAAAAAAAATCATCTTATACTTCCTCACATTGTCTTAATATATATATCCAACAGTAAACATTCTCAGAAATTTATCTATAAAACAGTATTTCATTTCATAGAAAGCAGTCAACCCACAAACGGGGACATGTTAAGGCCGTGTACAGATTAAAAATGCATCCCCTCATGAGTGTAATGCCTTAAACAACATGATATAAAAGAGAACGCGCCAAGAAACTTCGACTTCACACCATTAGCACTAGCTACGCTTCTAAAGAGACTTTCGGTTGTAGCGTCCTTTCGCTATATGCTCGAATCTCGCACTTAGCAAATGTTTAGACGCATACGTTTCTCGATTTATATGTAGCTCAAACTTAGTTTAATAGCATATTGATTGTAGAAAAAAAAAACTTCAATATTTTAGCATGTAATTAAATTGTATTATTTTACAATGTAAATGTTTTTTTCTGAATTCTCATCAGTCCGTAATTAGTCCTCGACTGGATGTGGGCTAGTCCCATAATAGGTAGTGTCGTATTTGACGTAATCGTCGTGCTTTCGAGGCGGAATGACGATAGAAGTACCTGATGTTTTACACCTGTAATACTGATGCGCTTCGCTGCTCTGGATGTTTAGCGTTTAGATATAGAAGAATGACTAAATTTTCATCCTAAGTACCATTGTCCGTTTTTTTCGCCTGCCCTAAAGACAGACTAGATGTTCACATAGCTATTGTGAAGTATATTTTCTCCGGAATCTAATAAAGCGAATTATATCTCACTTATCTTATATTTTTATGTCTCTGATGATAGACAAATACATTTTTGAGGATCGAATAATGGTCAAAAATCATGTGGAAATGCAACTGTGTGGGTAGCATTATCAGTGCGAGTGTATCAGCTCTTCGCTCACTAATCTGACGTGGTGAGTGTACAGAAAACCCTGACACGTTCTTAAATTGACCTTTGTCCAGAAGAAGACTAGAAAGAGTGATGTGATATTATATAATTTAATAATTTGGCCGTCACCACAGTCCAGCGAGATTTTCGTCCTTAAATTATTATTTTTCATAAAAAATATTCTCAAGTTGAAATCTTAGACTTTGTATTCGACTTTGGTGTTAACATAATTTGAATCACTATCGAACATAAGTACCTAATAACACTTATTTGAGCTACATACAAACCTATTAACAGAATACGCGAAAATGCCACTAGTGTCGAAACGTTAAGCGTCATTTTTGCTTGTGCACCAAAACTACGTGTCGTCCGGTCACGTGACGAGGCGAGGCAAAATGGACCGTAAGTGTATTTACTAAACGGCGATATTTGCCTGCTAGCAGCGATCCGCATCTGGCGGCGAGGTCAGGTACGGGTCCGCGCGTTTGTGGTCGATGAGCGCTTTCACCGTTGACGAGTCCGCTGGCAAGTCGGATTTCTTGCGCAGTAAAGGTTTACTTGCGTTGTTGTAGCCTTGTTTTCTTGTCTGAAACAATTAAATACTTCAATTAGGTAGTTATAGACAGTGTTGGGACGATGTTCGAACGTCTACCGCCCGATATTATCCCATAGGTGTCATAAGAGGCGATAGAATAAAATTAAACAGGAGATGGATACAAATACAGAAACTTTTTTATTCAATATACAGAATACCAGCGTAAAATACCATCTTAACCTATGGCGAGTGTAGAGAACGGAAGAGCCTTTTTACTGAAAAAGAGGCATTCCTTCTTAGTCTTCACGGGTAACAACGCATCTGCATTTTGATTCGCACACGAGGATAGATGCAGATGTCTATGGGACACAGCAATCATTTACCATCAGGTGGATAGTGTGCTCGTTTGTCACCCTATGCTATAAAAAAAAATATGGTTTTAATTTATTTCAGAGTTAAGAGCTGGACATCTAGTTGTACCAATGTACCACTTACCATAAGGTCAACTGTGTCCATTCGCATACCCTGTCTGTTATTTCTACAAAAAAAAAAAGAGAACAATACTTACGTCGTTCTGTTCCCGGTCGGATCGGCGCGCGGGCTCCGAGGCCGCGACGTGTGCGGGGTGGGACGCGGGGTGCGGCGCGGGCTCGGCCGGGGGGGGCGCGGCCGCGGGCGACGTGGCGCAGGCGGAGGCGGAAGCGGAAGCGGGCAGCGACAGCTTAGCGATCGCCGGGTTCGCGGCCGCACGCTCTTCCAACCGCTGCCAAATCTCCTCGCGCTGGAGTAACCGCTCGCGCTCTCTGACAATCAAATGGAACTTCATCGATAAATTGGTTACTTTCTTTCTTATGTGTTCCTAGTAGCGATATCTACGGTGTTTTCAAGATGGTACAACTCCCTTTCTGCCACAGATCTATTGCTGTCACCAAATGGTAAAATGGAAAAAAGCAAACAGAGTCTTACGGAGGTGACAAACATCTGTAGCCTTCTTCGCTTGAAGGGTACATGAGCTACAGCAGCCACTTATTATCAATCAGATGCACCGATGGTCGTAAGTCACTTAGTTTTATAAAAAAACCGTCTTAAGCTAGGGTCCCACGGCCTGTTTTGTCACAGGTCAGACCGCGCCAGGCCGGACAACAGGCCGTGGGAACCATCGCATCCGATGAGGCCTGTGGTGGCCTGTTGGCGCCCGTCCGATCCATCGGGAGTCGGTAAGATCAAAGGCGCGGCGCGACGGCGCCTGTCGCGGCCTGTACGGGCGCGTCTGCGTCGGTTGCAATCGTTCATTTCAACTGCGGTGGCGCTTGCGCGTACATGCTCATGATGGAATGGACGAACGAGCTCATAATCGAGTTCTTAACTCTTTATGAAAATGGACCAGCGCTTTGGAATAGTTCGTCGCCTCAACATAAAAACAAGAACGGCTTTTGTTGAATGACGACACCCACCAGCGTCGTTTTTTCTGCTTTCTTTTTACTTGGTTTATCAAACGTTCACCAGTGAATAAAACCACAGCAGCTGCACGCGCAGACTTGCGCTCCGCATCACTTTACAAGTTGGAATGTCAGTCGACAGGCCGCACCAGGCCGGCACACGCCGTGGGAATGCTCAGTACGGGCCGCGACAGGCCCATACAGGCGGGACAACGCCCGGCGCGGCCTGTCGCCTGGCAGGCCGTGGGACCCTAGCTTTAGCTATTCATTAATCAGTTCCGATCTGAAATGTTTCCGTAGAATATGCCGTGAGACGTAACAACGTAATCCTCCGAAATGATAATGCACCTGTGGTCTTTTTTCTTTCCGTGGCTTGGTCACCCACAGTGCATCAAGCTGAAACATACTTGGACGGTCCGAGGTGGCCGCTTTCAAGAGACGTCCTCGCCTCATTCCCGTCGCAAGTCGCGGGGGAAGAGGAGTGTTAGTATAACAAGATGCTGCTCTCCTTACTCTCCGTAGTCGAGCACATCAGCCACTCAAGACAGAAATTATGGAAATATGTTCCTCCGCGCTTTGCCTGAGTAGGAACAGGGGGAGGACTTGTAGGTCAAGGAACGGCCGGCGCCGGTGGGCCGCGGATATATGCGGAACACGATAGGGTTTTATTCGGTGAGCGATAGACATAGCCCATTCTTGCCTCAAGAGGCGCGTAAGCGTAACTCCACGAAAAAAAAAAAGATTTTCGTGGGCTGAAGTGTCCACTTGTTTAGTGTACTGTTAGTTTATTTGCCATATTAATGCCATAAAAGAACATTTTAACAAACCACTAAACCACAGGCTGTTCTGAATCAAAACCAAAGCCAAAATCAAAACAAAAAGGAAAACCGACCTTTGGAATTTCTTTTTAAAAGCGAATGTTATAAATTGGATAAGTGACAATGTTTTACACTTTCTATTAAATACAGAAAAAGGAAACTTACTTCTGCTTCTCCTGTTTGTACTGTTGCGTGCACTCGTCGAAAAGTTTCTGATTCATCTCCATAAATAGCTTGAGGGCGTTGTAGACGAGACCGTGGATCGTCTTGTTCCAGTGGCTCTTCGTGTTCCGGTACAGCGAGGGGAACATTATCGGTAGTATGTGTGTCGCGTTGTCCGATATGAGCGACATTATGTATTCGTTGTTCCAATAGTAGAGTGCGCGTTCCGCTACCTGAAAAAAAGTATGAGCAATTTGGTTTTTTCTACGTTAGACTCTAGGCTATTAGATCGATCGAAGATTCTTGGGCCTCAAATGACACTACCTCATAGTCTATCTATTGGTAAAAAGTAACTGCAACTCATAGATTTGATGAGTAAGTCTAGACTAGACGTGTGACGTCTAGACTAAAAATTAAGGCATATAATCCACTAAAGTGTAATTTAATAGACACTTTAAAATGAAACTTGTTCAGTCTAGAGTGCATATATTGCCAAGAAGCGTACTGTTAGCGTATTTTTTTGTCATATTTGTGATATTATACATTGAATTACAACAATGGATGCATTATTTTGACCTTTCTATTATCCTATACGTTCCCGCCATTTTATAACACCGACGAACGTCATGAAGCATCGACGCGAACGTTAGTATAATGACGAATACGCGTCCATGAACATATGCCTCCGTGAACAAAAGGCCTAAAATTGAATGGAATTTGATGGGTGGATTAAATGAATCGTAGGCTATTATTACACTGCCTCTTTCGGCTTTTAAAACAAAACAAAATGGGCACTGTTACAAACGTAAAAAAAGCTTCTGACGGTATCCATAGATGATGGCAAGCCCCAAATTTACAAGTACGTTAAACCTAACTTTACTATGATACAAAATATCAATTTGCTTTTGGTTCAATGCAAAATGTGTGTCAGTAACTCATATTTAATATCAGCTAGTTGCAATATTTGTGTGAAAAAAAATATTATTTCCCGGGTCCGAATGTACACTTAGTGACTGTGTTTTTTGTCTCTGACACTACCAGAAATATTGAAAAAGCATTACATTATACATGAGTGCTGTTGGAACCCCAATTATCAGTGGACTGTAATTTAATATTATGAAAAAAAAAAAACATAATATAGTAGTAATAGGCGCGCGAATTATCTTGTTGCTGAAGTATATATAAAAAGTAAAGTTCAGATCTATATAATATACATCCAACAGCTGGGCGTAGATCCCATAGATTTCTCGTGTGTGAAAGGATTACGGAGCAATTATTACTGGGAAAGGAACACGGATTACTCGCGTACTATATCGTGGTGGTTTTATACGTGGTAGAGCCATGCTGCAGCTATATTAATAGTATAGTTGTAGCACGAATGGGTCGGCGTGAAATAGCAGCTTAATGCTGCTGTGTTTCGTATGGTGAGTGTAGAGAACCGGAGACACTTATTACTGGAAAAGAGGCATTCTATCATAGTCCTCACGGCTGACAACGCATCTGCATTTTAATTCGCAAACGAAGACAGATGTAGATGTCTATGGGCCACAGCAACCACTTACCAACAGGTGGACTGTGTGCTCATTTGTCACCCTTATTCTATAAAAAAAAAACTATATGAAAATTATTGCGAGCGCGCCATAGCTACCAGGGGTTATAAAAGTAAAAGTATTAAGTACAGCTGACCCGTTCCCTTGCTCCTCAGGGATCAAATACCATTAATCTTTAACCATAGTCCTTGGTAGTAGCTGTCAGTAGCAGTAATCCTGCTAGTATAATTCTGCAAATATATTGTTGCAAGTGATAGCTTCCGAAGTATTCCAAGTTGTTGTCATATGCGATATCATTACCATTATGACTTTGATACGATTTTACGATGGATTACCTGAAAGTGTGGACTGGACACGCATTTTGCCAGCTGTCGGAACAGTGGGTCCATGATTTTCTGGAACTCGGCTGGCTCGATGACATCGAGAATCTCTTCCATCTCGTTCAGAAACATCACCTCTTTGGGTGAGTGGGTTTTCGGCCAATATTTTAATAATGCCCTGAAACCATACATTATACGGATACATATTTAAAAATATAAGACTGTGTGTTGTGGTGGGATTGGCAGGCTGAATGGTCATTTTAATAGCTATGGTTTGGCTTGGAATTATAAATTCAAACATTATTAATTTTCACAATCAGTCATTAATTTTTTTTTATTATGTTTTGTTTTCTTAGTTGATTTTAAATAAATTCACGTTATTTTCAACGGAGAAAAAGTAGGAGGTTCTCAATTTGACTGTATTTTTTTGCGTGTTACCTCAGAACTTTTCTTGATGATTCTTTTTTTATTTGAAAGATGATGCTTCTCATGAGGTCCCATATAAATTTATTACCTTAATAATGTGTATTTAATTAACTTCGACTACATTGATGATGTTCTCATTTTATGTATATTGATTGAAGTGGATTGCGGACGCCCGTCTGGCTACGCTGAATGTACGAGGGTGGATTGAAAAGTACTCGGCCTAACACAGATCCATTCAATTCTAAAAATCAAATCTACCCACATTATTTAGTTCAGTTCAGACTAGTTCATTGTGTGAAGTTTGAAACGTGTGCGATAATTAGTTGTGATTTTATAAATTTATTAACAAAGTAATCGGACATAATTTCCGCGAATGGAGCAAATCGAGCAGCGTGCCGTCATTAAGTACCTTCATAAGAAGGGGCTATCATCAAAAGCCATCCATGATGACATGGTCAGTACATTAGGCGATTGTGCTCTGTCATATTCATCCGTCAAAAAATGGATAGCAGAATTTAAGCGTGGTAGAGAGAGTGTGAAAGATGAACCCCGCTCTGGAAGGCCTTCGACGTCAACTACTGACGAAAATATTAAAAAAGTACTTGATTTAATAATGGGAGACCGCAGATTAAAAATTAGAGAGATAGCCGAGATTATAGGCATCTCTTATGAACGAACTCAAAACATCATTGTCAACGAGTTGGGTTTCCACAAGGTGTCTGCGAGGTGGGTTCCGCGACTGCTTTCAGTTGAACAAAAAAGGACGCGATTGACTATTTCACGCGACTGTTTGGAGTTATTTGAAGCCGATGCAGATGATTTTTTGAATCGTTTTGTTACTATGGACGAAACATGGGTTCATTACTGTACACCGGAAACAAAACAACAATCAAAACAGTGGAGAAGACCTGGTTCACCACCCCCTAAAAAGGCTAAGTCGATTTTGTCGGCAAATAAGGTGATGGCTTCAGTATTCTGGGACTCGAAAGGTGTGATTATGATTGATTATCTTGAAAGGGGTCAGAATATAAACTCTGATTACTACTGCACCTTACTACGTCGTTTACGAGAGGAAATAAAAGAAAAACGTCGAGGAATGCTCAGAAGAAAAGTCAATCAAGATAACGCCCGTGTTCACACGTCAGTACAGTCAATGGCTGAAATTCACAACTGTGGCTTTGAACTGTTACCGCATCCGCCGTATTCACCTGATCTGGCACCATCAGACTTCTTTCTGTTCCCTAACCTAAAAAAGCACTTGGGAGGTCAAAGATTTTCGACAAACGACGAGGTCAAAGCAGCTGTAGACGCATATTTTGACTCTAAGGAAGAATCATTTTTTTTCAACGGTCTAAATGCTTGGAAGGGGAGGTGGCAAAAGTGTATTGAACTTGATGGTGATTATGTAGAAAAATAAAAATATAACTGATTTAGTTTTTGTTTATTTTCTTGGTTAGGCCGAGTACTTTTCAATCCACCCTCGTATGTGGAGCAATGAATGATAAGATGGATGAAGTATGCGAAATGATGAATGATAGAGGAATAGATGTGTTATGTTTAATCGAGACGAAACGAAAGGGAAGAGATGTCACTGCACATGGCATGTATACCGCTTACTGGTCTGGTGTAGACGAGACCGAGCGGGCATGCCACAGGGAGTTGGTGTCATCCTTTCAGAATGAATGGGTTAATGTGTGAAAGAGTATGTAAGTGTAAGCCCAAGGCTGCTGTGGATAGGAATGAAAGTGGGCTTAAAGAAGTTGATTGTGCTAGGGGTGTACGCCCCAGATATGTCCAAGCCGAGTTATATCCGAGAGCAGTTTTGGGACATGGTAAGGATGGTGTTGATGAAATGTAAGGGAAATAAAAATATTATTATGTTAGGAGATTTTAATGGTTGGGGTGAAGATGTCTGGTTATGAAAGGATATTGGAAACGTTTGGCGATGAAAGTATAAATGAGAATGGTGAAGACCTCCTCACAATATGCGCGGAAAAGAATATTTTTGTGAGGAACACTTTCTTTCGTCATAAGAGGATTACATATATACATGGGAAAGAGGTGATGATAGAAGCATGATAGATTTCATAATTGTGGATGAAAGAATGAGGAGCGCAGTGGTAGATACAAGGGTTTACAGGGGTCCAACGTAGGGATGGATCATTATTTGGTCTTATACCGAATTAATGTCTATTCAGGTTTTGTTGGCATCTGAAATCTGTGTCTACCACTGCGTTACAGCGTATAAGAATAGAGAGGTTACAAGATGAAGGTGTAAATGAGAAGTATAAATGTAGATTGAGGGAAAATATAAGTGCTTTGAATGAATTAAACTTGAAGACTGTATGGAATAGTGTTAAGAAAGTTTTGGATGTAACCACCGAAGTATGTGGTGTAAGTAAGATAACGAGTAAAAGGAAAAATAATACGTTGTGGTGGATAATAGGTACGGATGGAAGTTGAAGCAAAGAAGAGAGCATGGCTAAATATACTAGCTACCAAAGCTGGTAATTCTGGCGGTATAAATGATGAAATTGAAAGAAAAAAGGCAGACTTTAGACGTATAAATAAGAGAGTAAAAGAAGTTGTTGAAAAGAAAAAGCAAGAAAGAACGGATAAGAATGATAGAAGGATATCTGATAACTTCCAGGCAAATATTAGAATGTTCTGGAAACTCGTAAGAACTGCCAGGGAGAAATTCAAAACAGCCTAGAATGAATGCTATACGAGACGAGAATGGCTGTATGCTGAATGACGAAGTTTCGAGTTTAAAAAGATGGAAGGAATACTTTGAAAGCGTGTATATGAGTGAAGAGTCGTCTGAATTAAGTGAAATAGAAATTCCGAAAGAAGTGGAGAGATGTAGGGAGACAACTGTAGATGAAATAAAGAAAGCAATGAAAAGCTTGAAAGCAGGTAAAGCAGCCGAATATGATAAGAGTATCACTCGAAATGCTAAGGGCTGGAGAGGGAGTGGTGGTAGGCCTGCTGTACACCTTGTTTAATTTATGTTGGGAACTGAAGCGGGTACCTTAATACTGGTGAAAAGCAAATAGTTCCAATATATAAGGGAAAGGGGTCACAGCAGGACTGTAAAAACTACCGTGGTATCAGCTTGCTTAGCATTGTGGGTAAACTTTATGTTAAGGTGTTAATTGAAAGAGTTATGGAAGAAACTGATGGAAGGGATGTGCAAGCTGGATTTGGAAAGGGAATGGGGTGTACGGATCCAGTATTTTCCATGCGCAGGAGGTTTTTGGCCAAAAAACATAAAGTTTTTTGTGTGTTCATAGACTTGGAAAAGGCTTAAGACAGAGTGGACAGGAATGTGTAATGGCAAACACTGAACTCATTTGGGTTGAGTGCTGGGTTGATACGGGCATTGAAGTCTTTGGGGACTGGGAAGGGACTCTAGTACTTGCGTCAGGATCAACGGGGTCTACTCGGACTAGTTTGGCCTCCATAAAGGTGTCAGGCAGGGCTGAGTGGCTTCCCCGTGGCTGTTTAACCTATTTATGGACAGTTGTTTGGTAATTTTGAAAGTTGGAGAATGTGGTCTGAGAATGGGTGAGTTAACCGTCAAATGCCTTTTGTACGCCGATGACCAAGTCATATTTGCATCGTCAGCGGCCGAGTTGCAAATGATGGTTACATTAATGAACTGGTCATTATTAAGTATCGTAAGAAAGGAAAACGTTATGTGAAATAAGAATAGAAGGGGCGTTGATTGAGCAAGTGGATGAGTTTGTATATTTGGGATGTCTATTTAGCAGGGATGGTAGATATGACAAGGATATAGAACGACGAGTGAACGCAGGAAACAGAGAGAATGGGGCTCTACACGCTATTATGAAAAGTCAGAATGTGTCAAAAAAGGCACGTATGGCAATTCATAATACAGTATTTACAGTTAATATATACAGTAAATCCCTACTTTTAATGTATGGTAGTGAAAGTTGGGTCTCGCAGAAGAAGCACGAGAGTAGAATAAATGTTGTAGAAATACGGTCATTAGGGAGTATGCTAGTACTGAATCTGAATGACAGGATGAGAAACTGTGTGATAAGATAAAAGTGTGGTTTGCAAGATGACGTGGTGACCAGGGTTAAGAAAAGAATGTTTCGGTGATTTAGTAATGTAGAAAGAATGAACGAGGAAAGAGTGACAAAGCAAATTTATGTAGCAGAAGTAAACGGCAGAGTCGGGAAAGGACGCCCTAGACGAAGGTTTATCGACCAAATTGGCGATAATATTGAAAATGGGCCAGATTAGGAGTACGCTTAACCGACGAGCATGTATGCGTAGATATGTGGATGTAAAGGATGCGAGAGAGGTGTGGCAGGATCGTGCCAAACGGAAGTCCGTAGTCTCTGCCTACCCCTCTGAATGACAGGCGTGAGTGTTTTATGTTATGTTATGATGAAGTCGGTTGTGCAAAATTTTTAATTTTACCACTTATTTTGACTATGCGAGTCACACGGCACGCAATATCAATGACGTATACGGACTTAGCAGTACTAACGAACATACTAATGAACCTCGTCGCTCCCCGGAAAACAAGGATGATAATGACAAACTGAAAGCGACAGTGGAAGTGGATCTGTCTTTAAACTACGTCAAAACAATATTAGATCATTTGCGGCAAAATAAAGAAGCTTGACTAATGGATACCTCACGAACTGAGTGAGGCACGGTTCACGATAGAGACGTCGGCATAATTAGCAGAACTAAAGCCATAAACCCTTCCTCGCCCACTCAGACTTTGTTCCAACAGACTTCCCCTTTTTTCGAAGACTCTTTGATAGGCAATTTAATTTGGAATAAGTAGTAACCTTTAATAAGATCACCAATCTCGTGCATTAGATTTCTTTAGCAAGGGAATCAAACAACTGCCCATAAAATAGCAGGAACGAGATAATCTTTAAGGCAAATTATTTAAATAATTAAAGTAAAACTTACCATTTATAAATATACTTATAACTGACAAGTACATACCTGACGACAGGTTGCGTCAGCGACGGATCCTTTTCGAGGAACTGGACCACGCAGTACGCGAGTTGAGGGTGATACACCGACAGTGATTTCACTTTGTGCAGGGGCAGCAGTACCTGAAATAGGAAGATGTTCTTAAGCTGACAGCTATAAAAGTAGCATATATTATAAATGGATTAATTATGCAAAATCTATCTTCTAGTAGCAATCTTCCAAAACCGGTAGCACAATAAATAATTTAGCATAACATGTTATTTAACATGCTGGCTGCCAATAAATAATTGAAAACAACTCGTTATTTAAAAAAAAGATGTTTGAAAATAAATTAGAGCTTATGAAAGAAAACTTGTTTTCGATAGTCTAGATCTGAAAATTTACTCGACGTTTACTGTCATTTATTTTGTATAACATTTTTGTTAATGATTCCATGGCTCGATTTCATGTTACACAAGTATTTATATAATTTAATATCTATTGTTTACGCCAGGTATGCATAGAAGACCATCTAAATCAGGGGAGTTCTGTGAGATGTACATCTAGATTTAACGCAGCTTTGTATATTATATTGGAGATGTAGTCAAAATCTGTGCTTAGTCAGCGACAAACATTGTTCTAAAAAATAATGGTTTGCGTGTGTCGGTTTGAGCAAGTGTAAAAATTAACACGATTGCATCAAATCAATTCGGCCCAAACTCATTTTTACTATACTAGTCGACACTGGAGAGTCCCATTTCTACCTTCTAAATTCAGCATTAGATAATTATTTTAAAAGTAAAGTTTCGGCCTATAATATACGTCCCACTGCTGAGCCCACCTCCTCTCTCATCGCTGAGTTGGTTTTAGGTCAAGTGCAATGACAATGTCACACAACTTTGAAATACTTTTTTTTATAGGATAGGGTGACAAACGAGCACACAGTCCACATGATGGTAAGTGGTTGCTGTGGCCCATAGACATTTACATCTATCCTCGTTTGCGAATCAAAATGCAGATGCGTCGTCACCCGGGAAAAGAGTCTACGGTTATCTACACTCACCATACGAAACACAGCAGTGTTAAGATGCTATTTTACGCTGGTATTCTGTGAGAGCGTGGTCCTTCTCCGGTCGAGCCGACCCATTCGTGCTACAACTATACTACTAATATAGCTGCAGCATGGCTCTACCACGTATAATATATTTTATAATTTATCAGATATGCGGTTTTCCTCAAGATGTATTCGGCCGACCACGTGGTAAATCAGCACTTAAAATTGCAATAAACAATTTCATTAGTGCCGGCAGGGATCGAATCCATGTTGCTCTCTAAGATAATTATTGTATTGACATCTGAAGTGCATTAATTTCAATAAAGTTTTAAATCAATATGAAAAAGATTTGTTTATAAATATACAAGTCACGCTATTATCCTATTTTATCTTGTTAAGTTAAACTATTAAACAGTAAAATGGAACGAAACTCACCCTTAATAGGAACAATTTGTGTTCCTCTTTGAGCGGTAACGCGAAGCCGTTGATGATTGAACCGAGGATCTCCAGCAGCTCTGCGATGCCGTTATGGTGTTCTGTCTCGTATATAAAACTGAAACGTACAGTAATAATGTAATTTCCACACTAATTACACTAAACTATCCGAGTCCGAGTAAGACTTATATGGACTATTTTAATAAGTTGTCTCACTACTTCATCATCATCATTAGAGCCCTTTACAAGTCCACTGCTGAACATAGGTCTTCCCCAAGGAATGCCACAAAGCACGGTCCTGTGCCACCTGCATCCATCGACTTCCTGCAAGTCTTACCAGCTCGTCACTCCATCTAGTGAGAGAACGCCCTACACTTCGTTCGCCGCCGGTACGAGGCTGCCACTCAAGAACATTTTGTCCCACTACTTAGCAAAACGAATTAGGGTTGTGTTTCGACCTTGGGCGAAACCTATATCTAGCAGTGCACCATTTACAAATTTATTGCTGTACATGATGGATGATGAAGGTGATCGCAGAGTATGAAGTAAAAGGAATAAAAAGCATCCAAAAACAAAAATGTTTTGAGAATGGCAATTACCATCGTTCGGTTATCGACATTCTAATACCATTCCAATATCATATTACGTTAGAATAATAACACCTAGAACGATAGTTCCCTACAAAGCGGACGTTCAAAAGTGAAGCAAGAACAAAATCTATGTTTGCGTTATTAACTTGTGTTTACGCTAGACGAAACACACACAAGTGAAGAAATAATGTGGCCAATACATTAAATTTTCCCGAAAAGTAGGGAAGTTGAAACTATATTCGACTAATAGTTACAAGGTAACGTATGACTCACACAAATGTGAAAATAAGTTTATTTGAATTCTATTATGGAAGTGTAGCCCGCTAAGTTCAAAATATTTTTGAATAGGATATTTGCCTATCTAGCCAAGTGAGATACTTTTATGAACCATATAAATGTAATTGCATCATATTTTTCTTTGTAACTGTATAGAGACGTTATAATTATATGACTAATGTAAGTTCGATATACACCCGCCCGATGCCTGACACACGACTGTTCGACGAACGATTGACCGTATTCAGTATCTATTATTCAATTTGTTTTTAACAATTTTTTTAATAATCGTCGAGTAATGGAGTACCGCACCTCACTGCATGCATAATAAATGTACGAAAAATACAAGAAAATTTTAATTTTGGTAGGTTTTACAAAGTCCTCACGGATGACAACGCATCTCTTTATTGAGGATAGTTATAGATGTATATGGGTCACAGCATCCACTTACCATTAGGTGGACCGTGTGTTCGTATGTTACCGTATCCTATAAAAAAAAGTAAAGAACAAATTTTTGTATTTCAGTGGGCTTCCAACTGCTTTCGTTTCGATTGTGTCTGATGTTTTCTCACAAGCCGCAATGATCGGATCAGAAAGAAATATAAAAAGAAAACCAAACATGCATTTATTATCAGATCATATAAAAAGTTTCCTTAAAATTCATCATCCATATTTTTTTTTAAAAACGTTGAAAAAACTATGATTTTCTCCTGTATCGTGGAGGCAGCTTACAAACATAAATTTCACGAGGACAAACATCCAGACCCGGAACAATGATTTGTAAGGCATACAAATACTTGTTCCGTGCGAGATTCGAACCCGCGGCCCCCAGCGCAACAACTCATTGCTAAGCCACTGCGCCACGGAGCCGTCGATAAATAAAAACAATGCATTGCATTTTTTCAATGTTGGCAGCCCTCGTAGTAATAAGTTGTCAAGTTGCGTTACGCACACTATTTAATGAGGGCTAATAATCTTCCACTCACCAGATGTCGCTAGTTGTGACTGAGGTAAAGTTTTTTGTAACATAGTGTCAGTTAATTGAGAAATTAGTTTTAAATAATAGTTTATTATCTAAAATATTATATTATTACACAACACAATGCGTCAGAGGTTAGATTTTTTAATTTTTTGCACTTTATAACTCTTTTTAAAAAAAATCGACTTTTAGCTATATTTTATAGTTTAGTTTATTCATTTCCAATGTAATTAATATAAAATATAACTAATACAGAAAGAAACCTTAAATATTACATTTTCTTAAGAAATTATTATCCCCGCTATGATATCCGTCAAATATTTTACATCACTGTAAAGTGGCAGAAAAAGTATTACGTGTTGTATTACCTATTGACGTGTTTTAGTTTTAATTAAAAAAAAGGTGGGAGGATTTTTCTTTCACTTTGGCAACATTTCCATATAATATGTCAGTTTTTAAAAATTCATATTTATTTTTGATGAATGTTTTACGTAAAAATATAAGTTCAAAAGCATTAGTTACTCGTGAAATGGAATGTTACTATGTTTCTTGTGTTTCTCTGATGTAATGACATCCGTTCACTGCATAAAACGTCATTTTTAATTAAAATTTCGGGAGCTGTTGTCAACACGACACGACTTTGAACACTAATGGGCCGAATATTGAACTAAGCCATACTGGCTTAGTTTGAGTTGCCTCACATTACGGACGCGGACTCGGCTTCTAGGTGTTATTATTCTAAGCATATTACGTTTTGGTCCAATATGTGTGCGTGTGCGGGAGTGCGTTTACTGACAATAAGTTTGGCGTTACTTGCAATGGTTGCAGTGTTCTGTCTGTTTTGTTCTGTATCTATCTTTGTTGCCTGAGCAAAAACGGTACGAAATATAAATAACGTGTTTTTAGTTTCATTGGTCTGGAAATTTCGATATCAACAATATGTCCAGTGGAGATTAAAGTCCGCAGTGACAATTGAAATGTACAGCAGAAGTGGAATCACCTTAAGCCATGTCAAAGACCATGCGATATTGATTCATTTGCGTTCAATTGGAAAAATAAAGAAGCTCGGAAAGTAGGTCAAAGCTTCGAAGTTTGCTTTACTTTGTTCAACCCGCCCATTAATGAGATCGCATTCTGTAAAGTATTACAAATTACTACATGGCAAGAAGAAAACATTTGTCGCAATAGTTGAACCAAAGCCATATCCCATAAGCGAATTGGGTCAAGAAGTTTGTGACGTAAATGTATTGAAAATTAAGAAGTTTGATCAGGTGGAACAATAATTGCAGAGATATAATTTCAAACGATTGCAAATAAAACTCGGCACCAAATAACGAAGACTTTTACAGTCTTATTCCAAAAAAATGTTTTAGTACTGGGTTAAGTTTAGGAGTAAGAAGTCCAGGTTTGTTACAATATTCTAGTTAATACCAGCACCAAAACGTGTGCTTATTACAAAACGCAGACTACCCGAGGACCAGTTAATACCAACGTTAGTATTTTATTAAATATCATTCACAGATAAAAAACAAAAAATGACACTATCATTCGTTCATACAGGTTTCATTCAATGCAACGTTCGGTTTCATAAAATATTAATATTATTTTCACATTTAATTATACTTAAATAATTATCCATCAATACAAAAACATATCATACATTGTTATTTGTTTACGTTAAAATCTATTGAACAAGCACGACATATACTTTTGACGCGCTTTTGATTATATCAAGTTGTTTTCAGTTTAACAACTCTAGCGTGAAATGTAGTGAATTACAGAGGTAACGCGAGCGCGGGATTCGAGACGTTCAAAATAGTTTATATTGCAGCCTTATAATAAGTAAATTAAATTATTAATAATTAATTAAGGACTTGCTATTACAGTTATATTTATATAATAATGGAACAAAAGAAAAAACGGGGTGAAAATTGGAGTTCTGAAGAAAAAGTTAGTGAAATATCGAAATTTATTTGTCAGTACGTAGCAATACTCTTATCCTCCTATTATCCTTATTTCAACTAAAAGGAATGTTCTTATTATTATAGGAAATATTACGTACACTTATTTCACAATCAGCACATATAATAGAGAATAAGTCGACAAAAACATCGGTAAATATTCAAAAAATAAAAGAGTGGAAGAATATAACTAATAAGTAAGTACTTATCGCATTTGTTGTGTGCAAATAGGTACGGTATTGTTTACGTGATTTCGTATTTTTTTTTTAGATTTAATGAGATAACAGGTAAACGCCGATCAGATGGTGAATTGAAATTATCTTGGAAAAGAATGAAGTTGTGTGCTAAATCAAACTTATACACATATAGGAGGGAACAATCAAAGACCGGGGGTGGCGGAAAACCTCCATCACCTTCTCTTGAGGACTTGGAAATAATTTCCATTGCCCCTCACGACTTTATCGTTGAAGTTAATAATTATGATAGTGATGCAGTGGTAAATAAAATTACTTACATGTCTTACAAATTTAATTAAAATTAAAGAACTTTATTTTCCATTACTTTAGTACCTAGGTAGTGCTCTGAAATCTACTCTTAAAGCATACAATTTACAATCCAAAATTATTTTCCGAATATTCAAAATTTAATATACTTAGTAACAATTTAACATAAATTTCTTTATAATTAATTATATTCAAAATTGAAATGTCACAAATTCATATATAGTGGTCTATATAATATCATAACACACATTTTACTAGATTATCTACACAGTCCGATTATAATTTTCTATTTTTGTCTATTAGGTATTATAATTAATAATTTATTAAATTACCTTTTGTCTTGGATCATAATAATATTTCTACAACATAGAAAATACCTGATTCAATAAAGGGCAAAATAGAGATGACAGGTGACAGGAAAACATGTTAATAAATTTTTTAATGATTTATTTTAGGATCCAGTGACTGTGGCTACAACATCAAAAGAAGTTGCTGACCCTAAGCCTCGCCTTAATTTTGAAAGAACAGACACAGCTATAGTTAAAAATGTAGAAAATCCAGAACCCAATGTTGTATATGTGCAAGGTAAATAATACTGATTGAATATTTATTAAAAAGCAAAATATATTATTATTATAGTTACAATCATATGCATACAAGTTTGTAAATATTATAAATGTTAATTTTCTAAAACTGTTTTATTTATATTAATTTTTAGAGATAGATCCAACTACAGATACAGAAGAAAGTGCCAAAATGGTGAAAATAACCAACAATAAAGATATTATTACTAGGGGTATAACAAAAAT